CTGTATTCACTGGGGAGAGAATTCCTGGGTACAACTTTTATGTAAAGTTCTCCAAATGCATGCATTCGTCCCACCACCTACCTGAGGAAGAGTGGGGTTACTGTACATAGACTGGGCAGATGGACACTGCCTCTGAAATTGTGGCACACCCAACAATGGTCTGCCCCCACATACATACAGCTAAGTCCTTTTTTTTCCCTCTTCTACCATAAAAAGGAGATTTTATGAAATGTAAACCTAAAGTGTTAAAGGTATGATAAAGAATTTTGCAGTGTATAGCGTATTAAGTATTTGAGTTAAATGTCTTCTTATATCAGTAAAAGAGAAACACCTAGGGCTCTTGTACACAGGAGAAAATAAGATGTCAAATGTATGAGATTTATTTTACTTTATATCATATTACTTCACAGTAGTACGTTTGTTTAGATCATTAATAAGACATTGGTCTGGTGTTCACCTATATGGTGGTCTTTTTTGTGCAAAGCCTTTTTAAACAATGAAAGAACATGAGGTGGGTCCAGGCAGAACCTAAATCCTGGCTAGTTCATAATGCCTTTTCATTAAAAGTTTTTCACAAAGCTTGCTGGTATTGATTTTTATGAGAGTCATAAAATATACTAATCCATCACTTTCACTTCTCAGTCTTCCTCCCATAGTGCTTTAGTATAATTAAATAAAAGGATCCATGCACAAGGGCCAAATAAACATCTATATTAAGGTTTTACTTAAGAACAAAGTCATACAAAGGGGAAAAAGACAACGCTTCACACTTGTTCCTAAGCACTGATATGGGAGCATGCATGGGAAATACACTATTAGAGAAAAGACTGTGAAGAATATGAAGAAAAAAGAGATTTAGAAAATGTAATTCAGAAGAGCTGGCATAATGGTACATGCTCCACTGGTGTGTATCTAAATATTGTTCTTGTTTTCCTTGAACTTCCATGAAGATGCTAAAATGAAACCTGATGACAGACAGAATTACAGAATGACAGAATGATATGAGGTTGGAAGGGACCTCTGGAGATCATCTAGTCCAACCCCCCTGCAAAAGCAGGTCCACCTAGAGCAGGTTGCACAGGAACGTGTCCAGGTGGGTTTTGAATGTTTCCAGAGACAGAGACTCCACCACCTCTCTGGGCAACCTGTTCCAGTGCTCTGCCACCCCCAAAGTGAAGAAGTTCCTCCTTGATGGAATTTCTTATGTTCAAGTTTGTGCCCATTTCCTCTGTCCTGTCACTGGGCACCACTGAAAAAAGACTGGCCCCTTCCTTCTGACATCCTCCCTTTAAGTATTTGTAGGCGTTGATCAGATGCCCCCTCAATCTTCTCCAGACTAAAAAGACCCAAGTCCCTCAGCCTTTCCTCATAAGAGAGATGTTCTAGTCCCCTAATAATCTCTGTAGCCCTCTGCTGCACCCTTTCCAGCAGTTCCCTGTTCTTGAACTGGGGGGCCCAGAACTGGACACAGTACTCCAGATGGGGCCTCACCAGGGCAGAGTACAGGGCGGGGATAACTTGTCTTGACCTGCTGGCCACACTCATAATCATCTTTATGATGACCTCATAAGATATCTCCCCCTCTTCTTTATTGAGTACATGGCTGTTTGATCCACCTCTCACTGAAAAATCTTCATGACTTCTCAGAGATAGAAAACATTTTAAAAAAAAAGAAGTGCTTTGACTAAACTGTTCCAGGGCCAATAAAGCCATTACAGTGAGTTCCATAAGGTTGACTGTTACAGCACTGAGCATCTGATCCTGCAAGCCTGCATTCCTGTGAAAGTAAGCACTGTGTAACTGTCCGTGCATGTGTACTTCCAGGACTAGGCTCACCTTTTTTTCTGAGATTATGAATATATGTAACTTTTCTGCCCTACTTTATTTCCTTGAGACAATCAGGAAGAGTTAGGAGAGCAATGGCAACGAGTCTTAATACAGTCTATAAAGACGCAGAATTACTGAGGCTGCATAGGGGACACGCTGTAAAATGGAGCATAGAACATCAGAAGCTGTTGGCACATAACCAAACCAGCTTTTTCACATTGTAAAGTAAGGAAGAAACCCTCAAATGCTTTTGGCATGCAGAAAAGAGCCTGGCCATAGATGCCTGCCCTTGAGTTCAAGTCTGACTTGAAAGGTGAAAGGGGAACAGAAATGAAATTAGGCAGTGATTGGAGGTCATGGAGCAGAGGAAGAACAGAAAAGGTAAGAGATGAAGGGAAAAAAACCATAAGGAAAAAATGTGGAAAAGGAGAATCTTTTAATTTGTCAAGAAACTAATGTCTTGAAAGTCAAAAAGCAACTTAGAGGATTCTGTGGGCTTAATTGGCCTTGGTTCTCTATAGGTGTCTGCTTTCAGCTCTGCTCTTTGGATGCATGTTAACCTTTAAAAGGCAATAGGAGTATATTGGCTTTTTGATTAGTCTGAAAGCAGCCTAATTCACTGGCAATGCAGCTAGACCTTGTAAAAGAGTAAACCACAGCCAGAGCATCCACTAGTTACACAGGGAAAAGGGACTGTCAGCATTTATTTATGGTCTAATATATGGAATTTCAAACCATATTTTCTCTTTATGAGGAAGCTGGATTCATTTTGACATGAGCTGAGCAAAAGTTAACTGGAGCTGCAGAGGTGGGCAGCAAGCAGCAGGCACACATTAATGCTGGCGGCCAGTTCCCACCCATACTCACTTATCTCCCAGCAGGCAAGTGGGGAGGGTGAATCAGGATGTAGGAAGAGCAATATGATTACCCAAAGCTATGGATCTTGGTGTTCTGCCCTGTGGCTTTTGGTGGTTTGCCAGCAGGTCCAAAGGCAAAGAAGGACAAACCACCAGGACTGAGATCTCGGTCTCAGTATATGCCTCATTTCTGGTTTGTTTTGTAAAATTATTCTCTTTGGAATGGCTCCTAAAAGTACACCTTTTTGCAAACAGGAAAGATAAGTTTCACAGTATGGTCCAACAACTGAGTATATCTTAAGGACATGGAAGTATTAGTATGCAACAGTAAAGTCTGATAGCTCTTATTGAATGTCAAAAACCACGAAATACTAATGAGTCATTAAATCTTCCTCCCTGATCAGTTTCTGCACAGTAATGGAAACAGAGCAGTTACTTAGTTAAACCTTGGTGCAAAATTCTGATTTGACATAACTACTCTGAATCTTTCAAATGCTGACTGATTTTTCTTTCTAAAATGGACGATATTGAATGTCTTCATTTAATCGTGGAGTAATTGCTTCCTACCTGGATGATGCTGTCTTCCATATTTCTTCCTTTCACTTTGATACTCTAAGTCTGAGCTTCACGGAATTAAACTAAATGAACTATAATGAAAAAAATTTGACTGAAAACCAGCATTCATTTTCCCCTGTCAAGTCCATTAGTTTGTCAATGGTTATATTACATCATCCCTATTTTTCATACAGGCTGGCCAATGAGTGGATTTTTAGCAGCCCTGATGAGAAGGACACGGGGGTACTCGCGGATGAAAAACTGAATATGACCCAGCAATGGGCGCTGGCAGCCCACAGAGCCAACTGCATCCTGCTCTGCATCAAAAGAACCGTGGCCAGCAGGCTGCGGGAGGTGATTCTCCCCCTCTACTCTGCTCTTGTGAAAACCCACCTGGAATACTGTGTCCAGGTCTCGGGCCCCCAACATAAGAAGGACATGGACTTGTTTGAGTGGGTCCAGAGGAGGGCCATGAAGGTGATCAGAGGGCTCCCTCCCCTATGAAGAGGCACATCCCCCTCTCTATGGCTCATCTCCCCGTGAAGACAGGCTGAGGGAGTTGTGGCTGTTCAGCCTGGAAAAGAGAAGGCTCTGGGGAGACCTTATTGTGTCTTCCCTGACCTAAAGGAGGCCTAAAAGAAAAATGGGGAGGGACTCTTTATCAGGGAGTGTAGTGATAGCATGAGAGGTAAGGTGCTTTAAATCTGAAAGAGAGGAGATTTAGATTAGATGCTAGGAAGACGTTCTTTAGTGTGAGGGTGATGAGACACCAGAACAGGTTGCCCAGGGAGGTCGTGGATGCCCCATCCCTGGAGGTGTTCAAGGCCAGGCTGGATGGGGCTCTGAGCAACCTTGTCTACACAGGAAATTCCACTCAAATACAAGGAAAAACTTTACGGTGAGGGTGACAGCGCACTGGAACAGGCTACCCAGGGAGGTCGTGGAGTCCCCTTCTCTGGAGACTTTCAAGACCTGCCTGCATGCAGTCCTGAGTAATGTGCTCTGGGCAATCCTGCTTTAGCAGGCGAGTTGGACTAGATGATCTCTAGAGGTCCCTTCAACTCCGACAATTCCGTGATTCCGTGTCCCTGCCCATGGCAGGGGGGGGTTGGAACTCCATGATCTTTAAGGTCCCCTCCAACCCAAACCATTCTATGATTCTCTAATAAGAGATGAGGCCCCTGTCTGTACCCTGAATAGCAGGGCATGGGCGCTGCTGCTGCCACTGGACCCAGGTCTGGCCTGGCCTGAGTGCTGAAGCCTCTCAGCCATGCTAGCTGGTCAGGGATGGACACAAAAGTTGGTCTGGAGTTCCTCTGTGGAAGCACTGGCACCTCACAGCCTCGCAGAGGGGATAAATAGGCTGCTGCATGTCACATGCTGTTGCTGATGGGGCCGCTCTTAACGATGTATGCAGAGCTTCACTCCTTGATTTAGCACCTCTGGGGTGGAACGTCTACCTCTGGGCCCAGGACCCCCCTGGGGTGCCTGGGGATCACTGTGCTAGTGGGGAGCTGAGCGCTATCAGAGTTTTATTAGACAGCATTTCTCTAAGCTAATATAAAATTATGTCAATTAGTAGTATTATTTAATTTGACCCCAAAATAAAAGTCTTATTATTGGCACCATTAATTTTTTTATCCTGTCTCCTAAAATTTGAGGAAGTAAATTAACAGAATTTGAAAAAAGACTTGAAGTTATTAGTTATATTCAGACAGCAAGATCAAGCATAGTTATGAAAACAGAAGGACTTGTACTCACCACACCATCACTGCTGTGTAGTTTGATATCCATTTGGGAAATAGCTTCAATATTCCCAGCTTGCGCTTTGATATTAATTCCTCGTGGTGCATCCATGCTCAAAGATCGAGTCGGTGATTCCAGCCTGAAAGCAGGAGCACAAAATCCGACAGTAGCACATTCTCGTATGTTCCTTTATTTTTGAAAAATACCTAAACTTTGAACATGCACTTGAAGGATCTCGCCTGAAGTCATATAAAAGATGCAGCTTCTTTTTTCTTCATGCAGACTTGAAAAAGGAGTTAGCTATTTAAAAACAATACAGTATCCCAAAGGAAAAATACAGATGAATTCATAATAGAAATGGAAAGTATCATTTCAGATATAACTTCAGATTATTTCAGTATAGCAGTAATCTATTCTTTAAAACTGAAACCTGTTTTTAGGTTGAATTTATTTTCATTTTTGCCATAAGAAGATATTGAAATTAATAGAATTAGTGATGTCTGGAAGTTTTTTAATCAACACAAATTTTGACACCGCTATTAATCAGATAAAGGCTTCACTCTGTGTATGTGTGTGTTGTTTAACTAGATGGCATCTGAAACTTAAAAACTAATAACTTTGTTTGAAATAAAAGTTATGCAATATAACAGAAAGCTGCAAACTCTACAGTGCCACAAGATGGCAGGAAGGTACTGTACTAGCTGAGTAATCACCTCATCATGTCAGCTGTGCAGGATTAATGATTTTTACTTTCCAAAGTGATAAGGCTTTGTTTCTTTGGAATTTTGGTATCATTTCCATGATAAGTAACAGGGATAGGAGCACTAATTAAAAATCACGAGAAGGAAAGAAAAAGCCCAAGCTTAGCAACAAGCTATTGATTATATTGCTTCTTTTGACCGTTACCTAGAGCTGCTTCATCTGGAGGCACTGGGCACACCACAGGATCAGAGCTGATACTTACTGGGTTTTGTTCCTCAACATTGGCTCACCCTTCCTGATGACACCAGCCTGAATTTTACACTATCAGCCAACATCAAACAGGTGAATATTAAGGCTAAAGAAAATGAATCAACTGGTGGTCCCAGTTTACTTTACATCCATGCTACCTCCTCTATTCTGTACATTCCCTGGACACATATAAAATAATGTGGGCTTAATCCAAAATGCAAAACTCAGACACTCATCCCTGTTCCCAGGCCTGCGTGTGCTCACCCACTGCATCTTCTGGAAATGTAGGGGGTTGTCTGTGTGTGTCTGCACACGCGTGTGCACGCACTCCCAGCAGATGCTGTGTTGCCTCCATGTGTCCTCAACAGCCGCCCATCTGGATGAGTGGAGGATTGTGCCCCAGGAGGACCCTTACTAGGTATGCCTCAGACAGTGAGTCTAGACGCTGACTGCCAATCATGCTAAAGGAATGAAATGACTTCACAGCCTTGATATAGCTGTCTGATGGATTTCATTTACTCAGATTGCTTCAGTTCTTCCTTTCTTTGCTATTACTTCATTAAAACCTTAATTTAAAAGAAGTCAGCTTGTGTTTGTGAGGAACTTCAGTTGTATCTTAGAGTTCTGAAGAAACTAAATCCAGCTGGTGTCTTAAAATTTAAATCCATGATACATGAGCATATTCAAGCACAGTCACTGAAACTTCATTTTTTATCCCCAAGTCTGAAAATAACTCAGGCAACATTGACTTCTCACTGCTGGCCAGAAGTAACAGGAGATTCTCTCTGCTTTGATCTTCAAAGGTCCCTTCCAACCAAAACCATTCTATGGCTTTATGTTTCTATGATCTGCTTCTCCTCAACATCTCCTGGGTCAGTCACCTTCAATTAGTTTAAACTCTAGATTGCTAATCTGAATTCCTAACAAAGGATAACTGCATCATGGTTCCATATTAGAACCATATCCATAAAAAAGTTTGATGCCTTATCCCGTGACTCTCTGAGATGGCACAAACTTCTGTCATGATCAAGCTGAGTACAAGGGCATGAATATGAGTCTGTTCTGCATCAGCCATCTAACATAGTATTAGTAAACTTTATTAAGCAGTTTGTGATTTAACAACTTTTCTATGACTTCTTAGTTTAGGTCCTTAGATTTAAACTTTTATGAAACTGGAAATCAGTTTTTCCCTGAGTGATTTACATGGGAGGTCTGCTTCATGGGACTATTTTCCATGGCATACTTGTATGCATTATATAATGAAAAATTAATCAAAGTTTGTATTTTTAATATTTAAAGTTTAATATATTTTCATAAGTTAGAATCAAGGTAGTTGAATACAGCTGTTGCCTTTTTTTAAACAAAATACTATAAACATTGAAATAGCTCATGTTTCTTTGTAAAGTATTTAATCTATGTAAGTAATCTATACACACGCATAAATTTTTTATTTTTAAGCTCTATTGAATATTACAAGAAGGCAGACTGAGACAGATTTTTGAAGAGCATATCAGACCTGGAGTCTGAGAAGCAATCAAACATGGAGAAATATTTCTTACTTTTAACCAAAATTAATGCTGTCAAGAAGCCTACAGACTTCAGAAGCATTTACAGATTTATGATATAACTTTTATATAATTTAAATTCACATGGCAGAATTACATTTGCTATATTAATCAAAATCCTAAATTTCTGCTGTTCTACAGGTCCTCTTTCTAGATAAACTACGAGTAGATTTACCAAACTAAGTCATTGGAGCTTCCTGGCAATGGAAACGACAGTGAAGCTTAAGCAATGATTTTAAAGCCTTCTGGAACTATTACGTGTGAGATTTCAGCAAAGGCAACATTCAGCAGCACTAATAATACATTTCTTCATTCAGCATTCAGAGATTTGGTGCCTCAAATCCCGATGTAATAAAAGGGAAACAGGCACCTGGCGTAGAAATGACATGATTAAGTTGAACCCTGACTTTAAATGTCCCTTCTTAGTCCCCACTTGGTCCTGAAGACATGTGACTTCCTCACCCCCTTAGACACTGACCTTAAAGTCACCTAAAATTCTTCTGTGGTCGTGACCCTGAGGCACATCCAGTTTGTCACTGGTCTGAACTTCCTCTGTATGCTTAAGGGCCTGGGGACCACAGAACTGCCCTAGCTGGAGAGCTGACTGATGGAGATACTTCCATGAACTCAGGGTGTCTCAGAAAGATATGAATAGAGCACTGCAATTCTTAACAGTGGTAGTGTTTTAAATTCATACTAATAAAGCAAAATGTAGTCTTTTTTTTTTGTGTGTGTGTGTGTGTGTATCAGTGAACAGATGACAGGAGTGAGTTCCTCTGCATTTTGAATTATTTGGTCAGTCATGAAGAAGATACACGACTGGGTGCAGATAATGGCTGATAAGAAATTTTCAAGATCTTTTCCCTAAGCAATAAAAGGGTGATGAGAGTAGGCTGGGCTGAGCAAAATGTTGATGTGCATCCCTCAAAAGTCCTGGAAAAACAAGAATTTGCTTGCAAATGCTGGAGGGTGCATGGACACTCCTATGACAGAAGTTGATTGTCTTAGAGCTTTTGGTCCTTTTTTCAGTTTGTTTGAATTTGGGCAGTAGAATGATGAGGGAATACATTGTTACCAGTCATTTTATCTTTTTCTTTAAATTACAGGCATATAAATTACATTTAACAGAATGGAGTGAGTATCTTTATCATCTAGAGGAATTAATCTATGTAATGTGCTGTCCTAAATGAGACATCTGTCACAGCCTGTATCTCATTTGGGAAGATGGATTCTGTACTTATGAGTAGCTTCTAGGTACTGTGGTAGCTGCCAGGAGTCTATTAGCAAGTGATGAGGCGCAAGAGGAGCTGATGGGGACAGCACATTAATCTGACACCCCCATTATATGTGTTCAGAGGAGTACTCTGGACTAGATGCTGCCTGACCCCAAGGACCGGATGCACAGAAAGGTTGGAGCATGTTAGGCATTCTCCAGAAGAGCATAGCTTTTGCGTTAATTTAATCCAAATGCAATCCTGTTCATGTGCACCAAAGAATTCCACAATGAGAACAAACATTTGGGGAGCTCAGGCAGTTCAGAGATTTCCCTCAAAACCACATTCCTAATTTTAAATTAAAACACTCATGTAGACATATCCATGGAATGTGAAGCACTGGAAACCATACCTAGGCTAACTTGTAGAGTAGGCATTTGGCCTTGTTCTCCTTCACCCTGATCCCTGCAGTCATCTGGAGGCTTGTTGGCAAAGTGCAGGGAAACTCCTCTATCTCAGCTAATAAAGGGCAGGGAAGGGTGGGGAAGTGGTCCCTGCTAATATTTCATAGCTCTGTAATCTGCTGGATATTGGTCCTCCAGCAGTCCATTACGACTAAAGCAACCGATTACAAAGAAGATAATATTTTTATCGCCGTCTTCTTGTTGGTAAGATCCAGAAGTCAACTATACTCTCTTGGCTGGCTGCCAATGGAATTTGGTGCTGAGGTGTGCAGAATAATTTATAAAGGACTGTGTGAAAGTCTTCTGAGGGAATCTGGACAGCATCCAGGCTCTGGATCTGAAACTGCCCCAACAACCTACAGGCTTGGAGATTCCCACCATTTTCTACATGCATGTTGTTAACTCATGGAGATAGCAGATCACCTGAAATTGCTCAGTTGGCTGTGTTTAGGGAGAATGTGAGAGGAGTGACAACCTGCTCTGGCTGTGGTAAAGAAGCAGCTGAGTTGAACCCTGACTTTGAATGTCCCTTCTCAGCCTGTACATGCTGCAGGAATATTGATCTCGTCTTTCATCCTGTTCTGGCAGGAGATGGAAGGATATCTTGCTGACCTTACAAGTACCACAATGCATTAGAAAGATAGTTTTAGTCCTGCAAAAGAGTACCACAGTCTTCTGGAGCCCAAGTTTCCTACCACAACGTGGGAGAGCTTGACTCTTTGAGCAGGACAGAGGAACCAGATTGCTTTTGTGAATTTGAGGAGAAGTTTATTCCTTCCCTTTGGTCAGTTCTTGTCCTTTCCATCTTATGAGTCAGCATCTCTCCTGTATTCACTGGGGAGAGAATTCCTGGGTACAACTTTTATGTAAAGTTCTCCAAATGCATGCATTCGTCCCACCACCTACCTGAGGAAGAGTGGGGTTACTGTACATAGACTGGGCAGA